CCCACAAGGCTTGAAATTGTCACGAGTCTGCGTGACAATACACGGATTTTGGATTAATAATTGGAATTACTGGACCATTTTACAGCCCGTGACTACACTTTACACACCACTATCACACACAGTCTAGTGTCTAGTGTCATGTCATAGTGCTAATTATTTATTTATAGGTACACAAAATATGTTCAATAATAAACTATTTCATCTACAATCCACATGCATTTCCCAAACACAGAGGCTGCTACAGCCACCAAAATCATTGGATGTTATATAGTCATCAAACAATGCTAATAATTTAATATATGTAATGACTGAAGTTCTTTATGAATTTCACAGTATCTACATAAAACCTTAATTCAAATTGGCAAAAACTTAAGTTCATGAAAGTGGTTACAGCAGACATTTTCTTTAAGATCAACTAATCTCACAAAACTGGGTCTTTTTTTTCTAAGAAGCTGATAGTTGCTTGGCTTGTCAATAAATTCTGCATCTTTCAAGGAACCCAGACATGTCTGCAACAACCTTCCACGGGATCTTACCCTGAGACAAATGAATCTAGTTTATATCCTCACTTATATCTTTGAGATCCAATACATGCTTATGTCTACCCAGTGGTCTCTTCCAGTCATGATATCCAACCAAAATTCTGTAGGTTTACAGACTTCTAATTTTTCCATGCATGCTTCCACAAATTTCACCCCCTTTGGTATATGCACATAAATCAGAAGGAATAATGAAATTGTTATTTTAATCATGAAATCCAATGACTTGGAGACTGTTTTCATGTTTAGAGTACATGCCCATGTATCACTGTGGAATCTATACAAACTTTCAGGCATTCATCTTGCATATAAGTGTTGATACAGTATGAATAGTTGCATGAACATACTGTAAGAAACTGAACAGAAGTAATTAGGATAGTATCAGAGTCCATAAATTCTTGACACAAATTAGAAATGCCTGAAAATGAAGAGCTGAAATAACAGATCTAGAAGAAACAAAGTGAGTAAGAAATGGAGGATACTACAAAATGAGGAACTTTGTAATTTACCTGTGCACTGTTCTTAATATAGTGAAATCAAGGCTATCATTGGCTATATGTGTAACTGATAATAGAAAGACAAGACATCCACATGGAATTTTGGTGGGGAAATTGTGGCTACTTGAAAGACTGACATGTATGTGGATCTCACTGAGTTAAATCTTATGAAAATGGGGTGTCAGAATGTGCACTAGAATGATGTGGCTTAGGACCATACACTGTGGTTACATTTCCTGTCAGTAGTTGACAAACTACAGGATCTATCAATAGAAAGTTAGTAAATTGAAAGCAAAAACTGTTTAGTAGGCTGACTGGTATAAACAGAATGAGATGAAATTCAAGTGACAAGAAACCATGAACTGCTTTAACATAAGAACAAACACTTACAAGCTATGTTTAATTTGATACATAACATAAATCAAGTGAAATTCAAGGATACGTCAAACCATGAATCACTTTAACATTAGAGCAACCATTTACAAGCCATGCTTCATGGATACATAACATTAATCTACAGAAAACACGGTTTGCTGAAAGCCATACGTTGCCAGTGGAATGCTCCTGTTGAACTGCTTGCTGGGTCTGCAATAGACACAGCTGTTTTGATTATATGCAACTATTTGTTTACTGTTGCTTTAAGGAAAAGGTTAAATTATGAGATCACTCTGGCTGCATGTCCATTTCAGATTTTGAACCAACTGACTGATTTCCAAGCAAGTTGGTATGAATATTATACCATTACAGACCTGCTCTCCCTATCATATGTGTACCTTTTAATTTACTACAAACACTAATACTATCATGGCAAAGGCACAAACTTGTGAGGTTGGAGCAATACTAGTGACACTCCATTTAGGGTTCTGAAATGATATATGGCGACAGATCTCTAAAGACTATACAGCTTTAATCCAGGTAATTTCTTTGCAGAAAGTAAAATAACAATATTGAGGCAGTGCAAAATTTTTCTGCCTATCTGATTTCATGGCAGTAACTAACGAACTGTCTACACATTGTGCATAAAATACTGTTTGTATATCAGCAATTACAAGCATGACAGTTTGAAACTTTGAGATTATATCTGATAAAATTACAGTAGGCATAGTATGTACATAAGTGGTAATGTCATCAATAAAATAAATAATAATAACAATTCTGCAGATCTAGACATCTCTGAAATAAGAAGGTAATGTTAATCAATTCTGTTGGGGACTCAGTCAAATTATCCAATCAGAAATACAAACTGAAGGAAAGAAACTTTAAAATGAATTAGCCTAAACTTAGCAGTAACATTTCCTCCATGCCAGACATAACAGTTATAATGCCATGACTTTAACCTTACAGGTTTAGGCAGTGGCATTTGTTCCATGCTGATGTAATGGTTATAGCATCATGACTCAGTTTTCTGAGACCATCTACAATAATTATACTCTCATAAATCAGTATTCCTGCAATAAGCAACAGAATTTCCTCTACACCAAATGTAAGTTCTACACTGTCATAAGTCAGCTTTCTGGAGTTAGGCAGTAACCAATTGGTCTAATGATTACACCATGACTTGGACCATCTGGAATCAGTTACTGAAGTGGCATCTCATGCACTATCTATACTATCACAATTTGGCAATATGGCTACCCTTTTTCTTTTAAACAGAGCATTCTTGATGAAGGTGAGCTATAGGGAGGGCAGACTTCATATTGTGCATCTCCAAACATCCCACAGAAGACTAAATTTCAGTAAACAAGCTGGAAAGGGGAGTAATGTTGTTTCCTGTGGAGTCCCTACTTGCTTTTGGTTGACTCACTTGCAGTGGCAACAGTAATGTCAGATTGTCTGGGGGGTGGGTCTCCACTTCAGCAAAAATTACAAACCTTTTTGTACATGTACACATACTGAAATTTAAGTCAAATGTCATGAACCACCACATTCGTGCCGTTATGATCACATATACTTGTACACGCTATCATATTCAACATTACTGAATTTATTTTTTAATAAATAATATAGGCCTAAGCCAAAGGTAATTTCAGTACAAGAACAAATAATTTTGTTACAGTATAATTTACTAAGCTTCCAGCATGGCATACATCATGTCTAATGTTTCAAATTGTGTTAGATTTCACTGCCAATGGTCACTTCGTCACAAGTATACAGGCATGTAGGAGTAAAAGTGGTGCATATGACTAATAGAATCAAAGAGAAAGCGTCCTTACTGAAATGGAATATATATATATTTTTCACCTTCAGCTATTTATAGACATATTAGAGTCAATGAAAACAACAGCTGGAATAAAACATCCACTGCAGCAGTTTTACTGGACATCAATTTTCCTGTTTACATCCATATTCAAGATTGGATGTATGCCAAGGCTCTCAAGTAAATTAATACACCAAATCTATGGACACTGTGACTAAATTCTGCTACTACACTTTGAATAATGTGACTGCATTGTAGGAACATAAAACATATAACCATACAACTAACAAGCATATAATCCCATTGAGTCCAAGGACAACTGTGCAGTCAGGATATAGTTTATTTCTTGTGGTATCACATACTAATGCATACACAAGTCCCTCACTACATTATAAATCTATACTGTTCATCTCTGCATCACAAAGGCATCAAATGTTGCAGAATCAAAACAAGGAATTTAGCCAACACATTAATATAGAAACTTTTTACTATGCAGTTCTGTCAAAATATTACACCTCAATTTTGAAAAGATTGGTGAGGAAGTTAAGAGTAGTAGAAAAATGAGGGAGCAGAAGGTGATCAGGTGACCAGTGGTCCAATGACTGAGTTTAATTCTTTCTAATGGACCCAACAGAGTAGCTGTCTTAACACCTCTCACCTGAGGATGGAAACAGATCCAGTTTCCGAAATGTTGTGCTTTCTAGTTTCTAGAATACTGTATGATGGATAAAATCGAAAAAACCCAGTAATTCTGAGTATTATACACCATCATCAGAACCCTTTAGAATCTACTTATTACAAACGGGAATTATGTTAATGGAAAGAGGGTATGCATACTTTGGTAAGAAACGGTTATAACAGACCAATTTCTTTTTTCCTTAATTGGAACATCCTGCTGTCCATATTACCTGCTAGAGCATATTACAGTGTGTAGAGCCATTGCTATGTAATGACCATGAGATTGGCGGATATACCAGGGCTGTTCCTGGGCAACAGATCGGTAAACAGATTCCTGCAGCAAGAGACATAAATGTAACAATAGAACAGCTATGTTTTCTATGCGGTCTGTGTCAAAATGCTAAGCAAGGAATAAGGTTAAAGCTTAGTCAGTTCTGTACGGGAGCCTGTGAAGAAAGGACTGAAGCTGGACACAGAGGAATAGCCATTGTCAGAGCTGTTACCAGGAAACATCTAGTAACAGACTAAAACACTAGACTGTGTGCTCTAGAGAACTGTAAAGTGTGGATTTTTAGTTATGACCTGTAAGTGATCAATAAGTCTATTCACCAATCCATATCGTAACTATAGTCACACATACGAGCACTACGTCACATGTTTCGGTATTTATCCATCAGCAGGATAACTATCAACAATACTCATAAATTGAATCGAAAGTAAAGGGGACCATTTTCACAAGATGCATCCTGTATGTGTGCAGTTCACAAAATTTTAGGGTATATATCTATCACATAGAATATATACTCCGATTAAATCAGCATAAGTTAATCTTGTTAAACATTTAAAACTGACAAGATTGAATTGGATGGGAAACAAAACAGTGAAACAATGAAACTGAGAACAGTGTGCAATGAAAAGATACAAAATGTGGTTGTATGGACAAAAAAAGTTTTTATTAAAAATTAATTTCTGGATACAGACTGGAAATTACATAAAGAAATACACTGTGATTACTACAAACTGATAACAAGAAATGATTGATTGTTAAGAGTAGGAGGGGAAACTATGAAAAAAATGGAAGACCACAACAAAAAATAATTAAATTTATTGTTCATCACAAAATATTAACAATAATGTTTATTTACATTTTACATTCCATTATTCATGTCTTTAGTAAGAGATTATATATTAAGTCTATATAGCAGAGTCCTTCTTGAGAAGCTGATAGTTAAACAGCCAGTAAAGAAATTCCCCTCCTTTATGAAAGCCAAAGATTCGTTACCAAGTTTACAACTACCTGGGAATGAATAATATCCTGAAGCAGAAGAACCTAGTTCACACTATTAAACCCCATTACTTTTACATCCATCTTAATAATATTTTTCCATTTACATCCACTTCTCTAAAATGGTATATTCCTTCCAGGTTTCTAAACATGATTTCATGCGTACTTCTTATGTCCAGCATGCTTGCAACATGGTCCTTCCATCTCATCATCCTCAATGTGAGCACTCTGCCAACATTTGGTGAAGAATACAAATTATGTTGCTGCTGTATAGAATATTCTCCATTCTCCTTTTACTCTATCCCTTGGGGTTCAAATATTCTCTTCAGCACACTGTCCATTGAAACTTTCCATGTTATTCTCTAAGGATAAGATATCAAGTTTCATAACCATATACAAATATACATTTTAAATTTAATTTTCTCTCTTAAGAAAAAAATGTGCTGGAGTATCATACCTCTGAAGGATACATGAAATGATGCCTTCGTCTCATTATTGTTATCAGCAATATTACGAATTTAAGAAACAAAACTTTGTGTTACCTCCAATGGTACATCCTTCTCACCAACAATTTTGGAGATATAATTGTATTGTGATGCATAGGCATGAAGGGTAAAAGCCAGCCCCTTAGAGCACATATGACAACAAAATCAAACAAATGCATTATCAGTGGCAGCCTTCCACAATGAACCTCCAGGCCAGCTACCAACTTCTTGTTGACCGGAAGAGCGAAGGAAGTGCCACCCAATCAGTGTGGACCACAGCAGCACCAATGCCCACTGGGCCGGGCACTGCTAGCAACAGCAGATAAAGATGTGGACCACATCCCACTAGTCAGTCAGTGAGAGCTATCAGAGTTACTCTTACCTCAAGGCAGCACATCTGGAATGCACACAGCAAACGCGAGTCTCCTAGCAGCAACACCCGCAGCCAACTCCAAGAGCGGTTGACTAGACCCATTGGGAAGTCCACCGCGAGTGCTTACCGCCCTATGGCTGGCTTGCAGTCACCTGGCTGCTAAACAAGGAGGACCACCATCGCTAGCACACATAACTCACTGTGGCAGCAACTTTGCCAGCATTCATCAGGCGTGCCATGCCTTAGAGGTGAGAAGGGCCCCACAGTACCTCACTGGTTACTGTACACTCTGCTTGTCTGCTCGCCTGTGTGCTCTTCTTCTAGGAGCAATAAATATCCATTATAGAAATTTATGTGGTTGTCTCTTTGACTGCCGGAACCGACATTCCACGGGTGGTTGCCTGTGTCCATTGTATCAATGGTCATACAACTCAGAAACACATGTTTCTTGTGTATTAATTCTGCAATATTATATTATTGCCCCAACTCCCAAACAAGAATATACACGGCTGTTAATGAAATGCTAATCAAACAGATTATCTGAGTGATAATGTAACCAATATATATCTGCAAGGTTCTTGTTATTACACTGCAACACAGACAATTAACAACAAAGTGAATATCACGATTTTAGAAACCTGTAAATCAGCCATCCCAAGTAGGGTGTTTGTGGTTTTCCTGGTTCTCTGGGAAAATCCTGGGAAATGTACCTGAAATAGGCCACAACTACTTCTCTCCCCCAAGCTCCTTCCAAGTCACTACACACAATCATTCTCTTATTTCATTTGATTCTAGTCTTTTAAATACTTATTTTTATTTATTTAAATTTTTTTCTGTTAGTATATTTCCATGGTAACATAATATCTCTTCCTGACATGCCATAGTTAGCTTTAACTACTGAAAGATAGTGGCTGTTTCTTCCACTGGTCTTCACGAAACCCACTACATTCAGACCAGAAGTGATACCTCATACATAATACAGAAAGATTCAAGTACCTCTCAAATACTATACAATGTCACTAAATAAGGTCTATATGAAAAAACAAGCACAGAACAAGGCTGACCATGCATGACATATATAATTTTAAAATTTACTGAAACAAAGACAACACATATGAAAATCTTAAATAAGTACCTTTAATCATGTAAATCTTGGTGCATGAACAGGCTGAATTCCCAAACAAACACAAAAAATCATTTTTAATTCTCACGTAAAGATAATGAGGAGTTGAAATGTGGTACTGTGAGTAGGGACACTGACAGATAGGTTCATTTTTAACCTGCAAATTCAAATACAATAAAAAGTTAAAAAAAAAACAACTGAATAAAGGGAAGCAGGAAAACAAACGCATATTCCACTTCTTTCACAAGCCACGGCAGACAAGATTACTTGAGTAATTAGCAGTTCCTAGTAATGCCTGCAGAGGCTATAGATAGAATGTGTACCACACAAATGTGGTTGCCATAAATAACAAAGGAAATAACCAAACTCCTAGGCAGAGTTCCAAAATGACAGAGACAGACACAGCATGGTTATGGGCCTACTGCACCTGCAACATGGATATGTTTATGTCCTCACTTCAAATTCTTGCAAGTTTAACTCTTCAAATCATTTTACTTAATTGATTTTCAAACAATCCATAACTTAAAAACAACAGGTTCAAGGCATAAGATCAGTTCATACAGTTAAGTTACAAAGTTAACTGATGATTGACTTGGGTTTAAATCTTTCCAACAGAATATGTATGGATGTTTGAATACCCCTGTGAAAACAAGAGGGCTCATAGTTGCTTGATACCCCATCCAAGAACTAATGTTTGCATAGCAGGATCTAGAAAAGCAACCACTAAAGACAATGCAGTGACAGGTCTTCCAGAAGTAAGTGAAAGCCGTTTCAGAATTGCATCATGTTCCATTACTCATGGGGTTAGAAGGGCCAAACTTGAAAAGTTTTTGTGTTATCAGTGACACAACCTGCACACACCATGATAATATTATTGCGAACACATTACTTTGTTAGAAAGAATAACATTATCTTCACGAAAACAGAAAGAGATACATTATGTAAGGAACAACATTACGCAAGTAAAATGGTATACTTCTAATGCATACTGGAGGATAGTAAAACATAAGGGGCCAAGAGAGGTTAGACAAGCAGCTTGAATAAACAGGCAAAAAAAAAAAGTGCACAGTACCACCTGAAAGTCGCAACTTGAAAGACAGAACAATGTTGTTTCAACTGCTTAAGTTATATAACCTGAATTCTGAGTACATACGGATTTGGAAGGAGATAGTACCATCCTGGAATTCAGTGGAAGAAACCAAGAAGAATGAACAAGTAACCTCAGACATAACCATTTATGATATGCAAGTCAGTGAAGCCCCAATGGTGTTAAAAGCTATGTCTTGTCATTACTTACTTACCTACTTACTCATGGAGCTGAGCCCTTTTGGAGGAGCCGCCAATTCTGCAGCTACTCAAGAATTTCCCAGCATTTTATGGAACCCTAAGGTTCATTACCATGTTCACAAGACCCCTCCACTGGTCCCTAACCTGAGCCAGATCTATCCAATCCATACCATCCAATCTCTCTAAGATCCATTTTAATATTCTTCACCCACCTACGCCTTGGTCTTCCCAGTGGTCTCTTTCCTTCTGGCTTTCCCACCAATACCCTATACACATTCCTCGTCTGCCCCATTCGTGCTACATGACCTGCCCACCTCATCCTCCTTGACTTGATCATTCTAATTATACTTGGAGAAGAGTAAAAGTTATGAAGCTCCTCATTGTGCAGTTTTCTGCAACCTCCTGTCACATCATGTCTCCTCGGTCCAAATATTCTCCTCCCTCAATGTCAGAGACCAAGTTTCACACCCATACATATGTCTTGTCATACAGAATTTAAAACACTTTTAGGGTATAATAAGAGAGGAAATATTATACAACAGAAATGTTAAGATCTCAACAGTTCCCTTTTGTCTGTTTTACTTCATATTTTGTTTCATATACATATAAGGCAATGGACTCCAGTATAAGAAGGAACAAATGTTTTCAGTCATATTTTGTATTAGCACAACTGCAATTCATTGTCCAGATCACATGAGCTGAGAATATAGTCCTCTCATTACTTTCAAATAAATGAGGAACACAGATCATGATCTTCTCATTGTCAACATTGTATTAATTTCCCATATTATTCTTCTTAAATGGTCAATTACTTCCTTCAAATGTCTGTTCTTCAATATAACTTGCTGAAAACAAGAATCATATTTGCAATTACCCTAACAAGATAATACAAAAACTGAGTCTCTATGCTTCTTTACATTGAACTCACAGTGTGGGTAGGGAGTCATGTCTGTTCAATAATATCTTTCATCTCAAAATTAATAAACAAATGACTGTGAAGTATGGTATTAGAGGTGCATACTACATACTGCTAAACCATTTCATTTGGCCTTATTTGTTCACTATAAGCACTGTCTTACATAAATGCAAATAGCACTTCCTCAAACTTGAAAAAAATGTGCAAAAATTTCTATTTTACAGAAAATATAGATGTCAGTAAGGTCTATAATTTTTCTTCAACACATCTGACATGACAATCATGGGTGCCATCATCATTTTTTCCAAAGGGGAATGCCAGAAAATTTACTTAAAAACTTATGTTTAAGCTGTAAAGACAGTAAATAAAAAACAATTAGTAATATGTTGGTTCTCACATATTGCAGATGATAACCACAACAAGCTTATACATGGAAAACAACACGCGAACACTCAGGCCACTATAATATAAAAAAACCCAGAGAGGGATACTGAACTAGATCATTTGGACAAGTGGATGATGCCCCTAGCAGAGGTGTAAAAAAGAATTTCAGAAAGTGTTTCATAATTTTAAATTTAAAAGTAAATTACAGCATATGGAATTTTAACTAATACTAACTAGGTTACTGATTGTAACATCTAGTATTCTAAATCATAAAATATCACACTAGAGGTGATATTTAAATAAGTGGGCATTCAACAGTTTTGGCATAGCTGAGACACCTGATGATGGCAGTTTGTGGCTAAAACATGTCGTGAAGGGAAGGACTGACANAAATAAGTGGGCATTCAACAGTTTTGGCATAGCTGAGACACCTGATCATGTCGTGAAGGGAAGGACTGACCGTAATATTTGCATTGTTCACAAATTATATTGTGTAAAAGTAAAGCTATCCTTGTAACAGGCCATGAAGGCCCACAGGGTTGTGAGATGTTGAGGGTCCCATATTATCTAGACAATTGGCTCAAAGATGGCGGTAAGGTTGACAGCCTTACATGCTTTACTACCCATGAAAATTATTTATTTAATTCCTGGTACTCATTTCTGTTAGAGGCTGAATGAACCCCAGGGCCATAGTGCGGTCAGAAGGATTAGGTCAACTGAAAAAAATATGACCTCATCGGGACTTAAACCCGCGACCTTCCGTTTTGTAGCATAGTGCCTTAACCACAACACTACCATGCTAGCACACCACATATGTGTATATTATTTAAGGCATAAATAATAAACATCAATCACTGTTTTGTCCTAGACTCCCAAATACAGTTTAATACATAATGTTACATAGTTCATATTTATAAACCTTATAATCATCTTTGGTGGATCCTCTGTCACCACAGCATGGACTGTCATCAGGCTATGAACAGAGACAGTCCTTTAGACATGGACTATCACTGTGAATGCATTGATTAAGCAGTCACAGGCAGCTAAGAAGAGGTGGCCATCCAGCTTAAGATTAGTGTGGAGGGATACCAACTTCTCACCATAGGAAACTAGTATGTTACAAAATGTTATACAAAGCCTCAGACCTGGCTGGCTCTTGTGAAAAGAGTAATGAAACCTTGAGTCCCTTGAAAGATGGGAAAGTTTTGGCTGGTATTTCCTCCATCATCAATCCATAGAAGTACCACGCTGAGGTGACGAGGGACCTATATAATTCCAAAAGCATTCACTACATACTGTGCTGTGTAAATAAAATGGGGTATTTTATATTGTAAGTTTACTTCAGGATATATGGATGGCAGTTTTGTCTCTCAGAGGATATGCTAGTATACAAATCACTTAACCATTATAAGCATGTCTGTCAGAAGTGGAGAAAATCACATGATGGGAAGTTCAATATTTTATCTCTTCACAAGGCAAAGGTAGGATCATTAAAACAAGGAAGATAAGTATCACACACAGCATGATGGTGAAACCTACGCAAAGACTGAATGATATGAAAATATATTTAAAAAATATAGTATTCACTGGTGTAGTTTTGAAATGACAGTGATTAATCCTTGGTTTCCATAACAAAGAACTTTCTTGAGTAGCCAGAAAACTGCCAAATTTTCAAGAAACCCCGTAGAACATAAGACAGGTTCACTATCATGACCATAACTGATTATCATCGCACTATACTGTCTACTTAACAGTACATTTGATAAAATTAAAATTATGGTCACACAAGAACTTTTAATTCCAGTTTTTCTTCCATCTTTTCAAAAAATAACCTGCAATTTATTTGAAAGAAGGTTCAGTATAGATCCACTTACCTCCATGATCTCTTTGTTCTCGTCACAAACAAGTCTGTAAGATTCTGAAGTCTTTTTCTCATCAGATTTCATATCCCACTCTTCTTTTAATGGTATTAAACTCTGTAAAATGAAAAAAACACATATTATGTGAGAACTGAGGTTCTCAGCACGGTGACTATAAAAAGAAAGCTAAGCTGTGCTAAGTCTGGTGGAAGTTTACCAAGTTCCAGAGGAAGGTACTACTTCAAACTTCATTGTCAATTAGCAAGCCTTGGAAGCAGCAAGCAACAGAGTAACCTTGAACATACTAAATCAACATTTTGAGGAGGACATCCTGAGACTCTTCTGTTATTTCCTGGCTTCTTTCTTCTTCTGTTTTGACAGAGTGCTCTATAAAGAGAGTGGCAGCATCATTACTGGTTCTCCACAGCCTACGTCTTCACAGAGGTATTTCAGGAGATGGCGCTCAACAGGACAATCCATAAAGCTCTCTGCTGGTTTCAGTGTATGGGTGACATTTTCATGATCTGATCCCTTGGACAATAGTAAGTGAAAAGGCTTCCGTGACCAGCTGATGAGTGTACACTGAAATATCAAGTTCACTACTGAGACAGAAAGAGATGATCACCTTCCTTTCCTGGGCAATGATATTTACTGAGACATAATGGCTCTCTGTGTCACAATGCATAATGCAAGTCCAACCACACAAACCTCTAGCAGAACTCTATCTCCTACAACTACTCATACAATAAGCAAGCCGTGCTTTCCATCTTGATGCAGAGGCACACACTGGGACAGCCTACATGATGGAGTTCCTCATGGCCACAATGAAGCAAAACAGCTAGAGGCTCTTAATCCCCTTGAGACAGCTGTTCCATCTAGTGAGAATCCTGACTTGGTCACCCTTCTACTCCATGCCCGGTTGACCTTTGATAGCATTAGGAGGGGGCTGGCCAGACATATCAAGTCAGCTGGCTTCCTGTCTGTCAAGAAAAATTCCCAGCTTACACTGGACACCAGGAGGCACCTATGACATGTGATTGTGGTCAGACAGGTTGACTGACACCAGGATCAAACAGCACCATTGGCATATCTGTCTTGATCATGTAGAAAAGTAAGTTTTGGCATAGCACATCATAAATCTAGCACCAATACACCACTATCATCCCCAGGATCACTTCTGCCTAAGCAAGTAATGGAAACTCCTTACTCCTTGAAAGAATGTAGGAAGCCTCCTACTTAAGATTTCTAGTGATGGAGCTCTCCAAACTGACGTATACCATCCTTTACAGGACACCAATCTGCCCTGCAGGGCCTTCTTTCCTTTCATTTTAATTTTTTCTCCCCTTCCATACCCTCCCGTGATGCCCAATTACACTTTGGTTTTACTTCCCACGTATATCAGTGCACACTTTTTCATTCCACTTTGTACTGCCACTGGTCACTCATGCTCTTTTCTTCCCATGTTTCTCCTGGGATGAATACTGGAATATTTAAGGGCCTTTATCCCTTCACTCTTCTCCTTAATTATATCAGTTTGCTCAAGGCTCCTACCTCAGGTTATATCCTTAAGACCTTTTTCAATGCTCGGCTTATTCTGCTTGCTGACTCTCAGGTTCCTCTTCTACCATGAAGATAGAGGTAGTACATTCCTCTGCAACATTGGTAATCTTCTACTGACTGTAAGGCATCATACCCCAGAAGCTATATATTACACAAACATGAATCAACTTTTTATGCATTACTTGCATGAAATGCCTATAACGAACCTTTATAGAGTACAAGAGAATTTACACCAAAACCAACTGGTCACATTTCACTTTGAACTATATTAGTTCGATACAGTAGCTACCACAGTGAAGCTCAAATCAAACTTTTTCAACTTCATCAATAATGGTTCAGCATGCAAGAAATTGCACATGACATAAAATACAGACCTCATTAATCTTCAATCTTACAATCTAAAACATTTTATGCCTCAATGAAATATAGCTCTATTTTCATCACTCATCAAAAACATGAAGATCACTAAAAGATGTAAGCTCAGAAGGAATATATTTTGAAACTTTTGACTCTGTTATTATTTCTGAAAATCTTAACTTAAACTCATGATCTGTTTGGTTTGAACACTACAAAAACAAGACACTCTGGGAAAGATGTCTTTCTTTCAAATGCAGCAAATCAAAATGGTAAAGCTAGCAGAAACCATAAATTCAAAATATAAAATATAGCAGAACATTCTTGGGTGGTACTCCTATATTAACAAGAGTGATGGGCGATGTGTACATATTCCAGAGCCTTTATTGCTAAAACAGTACTCAACAAATTACGATCAAAACAAATTTCACATTAAAATTTAAATCAATAGTCCAGTAACACTACACAAATGTAATCCCACTTAACAACAAACTGCACCTTGACCTGAAATAAATGAAATTAACACCACAATTTTACTATCACTTAAAGATCTTCATTTTAATGGCAGTACACAAGGTGTAAATAAATACCTGTACATGTTACAACACTCTGTGGTAGATAGATGGGTTCAATCTGATCATATTTTGTTAATACACCCATGTCCAGAAATGCTTCCTTTTGGCACTGAGGGCCACAAAAGTTTCTGAGAGAATGCATAAGTTTTAGGGGACGTTAACATTGTTTTGCATTATAAAAGTTGCTCAAAATGGCGGCCACCAACTTCAATGCATGTTCTGCAATGCCTGGCAATGTTTTTCTGAACTCTTTGAAAGATTCCCAGAATTTCCCTGATGGTTCCAGCTGCCACTGCAATTCTTGCCACAAGATCATGTTGTGTTTCCACTGGATTCCTGTGCACCAGGCTTTGCATGTACCCCCAGAGAAAGAAATCAAGTGGAGTCGAGTCAGAGGAGCTAGGCGGCCAGATTATTGGGCCTCCATGTCTGAACCATCTGTTGCCATCCAAATACTCACGGATGACATTAGTGCAGTGTGCTGGGGCACCATCAGGCTGGAACCACATTTCTTGATGGACTTCCAAAGGTACCACTTCCAGCAACTCGGGTAAGGTCTCTTGGAGAAATGTTAGGTAAATGTCATCAGTAAGCTACAGAGGTAAGAGGTAAGGGTGTCCTTCACATTTCAGAGGACCTAGCACGTAAACAAGACGTTTCTGGACATGGGTGTATTAACAAAATATGATCAGATTCAACCCATCTATATACCACAGAGTGTTGTAACATATATTTATTTACATCCTGTATACAAATGAAAACCAAGCTAAATAAGGTCCAATGTTGATTAGCAATAAGAGAGATTTCTATAAATTGAATAAAATAACACAAAATCCTTTAAATTTCAAGAACATAAACTACTATTATTCAGTCAGGATTTCTGGGTTTTTGGACTTTGTCCATCGTCAGGCATTCTAAAAAACACCAAAGAACACAACGTTTCATAAACTGAATCTGTTTCTGTCCTCAGGTAAGGGGTGGGAAAAACCTACTCTGTTGGGTTTGTATTGAGGTTAGCTTATTCTAATGGACTGGAAAGAGTAGGTGTCTCTCGCCCCTCACCTGAAAACGAAACAGATTAAGTTCCTAAACAATGTGTTCTTTTGTGTTCTTTAGAATGTCAGATGATGGACAAAGTCCAAAAACCCAGTAATACTGAGTGTTATACACCACCATCAGAACCCTTTAGAATCTACCTAATACAATTCAGGTCCAGACAATTCAATATAAGAACTAACAGAATATCCAATCAGTTTGTAGAAAGATTTCATGGCATACAGACCAGAAATAAAACATAAATTTGAAATTAAGATTTCATTCAGTACAATTCAGTCCCAAAACAATAACAACAATTACGGGATGTGATCTAGGAAAAATTGTACATGTAATAAAGAAATAAATGTCCATGAGCTGTGACAGTTTTTGTCATACAGCATAAGAACCTGTTAGAAAAATGATATGCATAGTGTCTCCTCTCCTTCCTTGAGTGTTAAAAATAATGGGGAAAAGTACGAACATCGCATGAGTAAATATGGTAGTTCTGAAGTAAATTTCTGGAACTCATGTGTAGCAGTGGGTGGAAGATAAAGAATAATTACTAGGTGCAAGTTTCATCAGGGAAGGAAACATTCTGTGAACCTGAGAGGCAATTATGAACATATGAAAAAACTAGTTATTTTGTGCCAGACAATTGTGTACCTATAAATTTTATCTGGACACATAACAATATTTCTTTTTCCATAAATATTCCACTCTGATGGAGCAGTGGGGACATACTGTATGTTCAAAGTCATCTTACAACTGGACAAATACAGTATTAATACTTGTAGTTTTTCATTCATGACTTCATCCCTTAAGCCATACTTGGAAATCTGGCAAGTTTTGCGCTGCTCACTACTGTTTCAGATTACCACTAAAAGTACCTCTATATGAGTGTACTCCATTCCTTGGCAGTTCTCATTACATTTCTCATAAATTAATCTCAACCGTTTGAACAGAAGTTTAATTGTTTTCAGCTGTTCCTGAACTTTGGCTTTCTTCTCATTGCTTGTGTTTGCACCCTGAGCTGTACCGTTGGGTGGCTGGAAAGACAAAAAAAATTTAAAAAAGAAATCATGACAGACAACTCCTGCTCCTCAACACATCAAATTCTTGTAAAATATTTCTTTTCTAATTTAATGATACCTTATCAACTACGTGTTCTATAGTGACAAATAACAGGAATGTTATGAATGAAGAAAAGGTCATGCAGTATTTTAAAGTGCTACCATGAAAGTCCCTTCACTCTCACACAACAATGACAATGCTGACAAATTTCTGTGCCCCAAGTGGAATTTGTACTTATGACCTCAGTACTTAAGCAGACTAAGAATGTATCCAAGGTAACACCACACAAAATTCCGTATGCTTCCGACTGGAATCAAAATCTATTAATTGCTGTATACTTTTAAATACAGTACTAAAGATAGAAGGAAACAAGGAAATTCTAACAAATCCAAAAAGGGCTTAAAATCCTGTATTTAAGCATCCTGTTGCACTACTATGTCTAAAACTGTTTACACACTACGTAGTCTGTCAACAATACAACAAATTGTTCCTTCTTTCTTTCACTTTCAACACATGTTTCAGCCCTAAATGGCCATCTTCAGGTGTCTCACTAAGCTAAAACTACTACATGGCACTATATTATCCATTCATTACAAATGCAACTGTATGTTTCATGATTCAAATGGTCATAGTTGTGGTCTAATTGTTATGTGCTAAAATAGCACATGCTGTAGTTCACTTAATTTAAATCAAATAAAATCCATTAAAATTTTCTACTAAAATNGCACATATACACGGTGCCAAATCCCAGAAGACTGCTTTCTTCATAGTCACCGCTGTGAAAGCCTCAAATCTTACAAAATTTGTATTCCTTTAAATTTTGTAAAATTCTTATTACACCTCATAAGGGGCACTGTCCACTTGTTTCATTCTGTTTCCTTTTCTTCGGATGTTTTATTGCAGCAGCCTGGTTTTCTATTCATAAGCCCGTTGTTGTGTTATGTCTGCAATCTGTAATTTTGCCCCTTGCTTGTGCATTTTCCCTCTAGCAGGCCTCTTTAACATTACAGCCAATCTGAGGTGGTAAATTTGATCTTACGTGAAGAAATGGAAATGCCCACCTTGCTTGTACAATCTATTGCAGGGATATTATTCCTGCCACACAAACTGAAACTCTCAAAATGTCTACAGCTTCAGCAGTTTCATTTCCAATAACTCATATTTTTTTGTGCTTTACTTACAATAGAGTTAAGCATGTACAAAACAATCTGCCAGTCTTCATTTCCAGTCATTCATCCTCCTGAATGCTTTAGAAAAACCATTTATATCAGAGCACACCTCATATAGCTAGATAGGAAAGAAAACTGAAACTATGGTATTAACCATACCCACACTAACTCTTCTATGGGGGAAAAATTTCTTTTGTTTATATATTTTCATGGTAAGTCACGATACCAATTCTTGAAAGACAAAAAAAGTTTTAACTTATAATTCCTGATAATGAGAGCAGACATTCCATTTAAACAACTGAACTTACTTCTAGCACTTAAAGCATGAAAACTTTTAGAACACACTAGACTATGCGAGAAAATATGGGCAAGAAAGGAAGGCTGTTATGTTTAGTGAACATGACAAATGATAATCTACAAATATGGGAATATATGGGTATAATCTAAAATTTGTAACTTTCATCCAGATGAACAAACTATCAACTGCAATCACTACCAATAAATTTAAGGAAGAAACATAACTATATTACTTGCATGAAGAGAAATGGAATATCTGACTTCACATGAACAGAAGCCCCTAAGAAAAAAATAAAACTATTCTTAATGTTGAAAATTCCGCAGAATAGACCATCAGGGCATAGAAAGATGAAGAGGAGAGTGTCATAAGGATTGGAAATATTCTCTCTGTAACACCCTGAACAGGCCAGCAGACACAATACAGGTATGAATAATAGCGGTAGCATGAATTACTGCACATCATCACATAATCATACATGCATATTTGGCAAAATATTGTCTTGGAGCATTATTTATCTAAGGATTTATGAATATGCTCCATTTTGAGCAAAGTGACTATCTACTTGACCTACCTGTAAAAGTGAAACATCTCTGCTAAACTGAGTAGGCCCTAAGGGTTAACTTGTAACAAATGACAATTTTCTTTTTATACAAATGCTAAGTTTTCAATAAAATCTGTCATCTGTTATTCACAGACAGATTAGTCTGCAACCACTATAAAACTTTATGCTGCAAGGAATAGTGATTTCTCTGCCTTACTACTTGTCATGTCACACTGAAATTCATATGATGTGAGGAATGACACGAAATTACGTCTATCCACTTGCTCCATTCACTTCAAACTGTGTACTTCTGTCTATTCCCTTTCTGATTTTGTCCATGAAATTTGTCATTGATCTCATCTTTCACTTGTAAGAATGGAATGTGTGAAATATAACTAATGAAATCACCGAGACGATGACAGTCACTCAAGTGGTAAAAATATGACCTGCCTTTTACTGAACCTGAAGGTTCATTATGAATTATGAAGCTTCTTCTTGTATAATTCTCTCAATCCCCTGGCTACCTCCTTTCTTAACTAATCAGTGAAAAATGGGGACATGTGAATTATGTCATGTATATATGTGGGATGCAAAGAGAAGAAGACAGAGCCTGTACCTGAATTGCTTTTAATGCCTGGAAGACTTCCTGAGTTCTTGACACAATATCCTGCACTGTTTCCTGTCCAAACCGGCACAGAGAGGCTGTGTTGAACTCCTTATTTGCTGGCTGCTGTTGTGATGGGTTCTGTTGCTGCTGGTTTCCTTGTTGTTGCTGCTGTGCATTATTCTGATTTGCTGCTTGCTGATGCTGCCAAAATATTATAATTATACAAAATATGAAGTGAAGAAATCCACGAGTGAACCAGCGTGAGCAGGCGCAATGCTAGTTCGCTTGCAGATTTCTTCCTGTCTTCTACTCTGAAGATGGAGGCGGATACGTTCCTCTGAAACATCGGTTAACACAACTTCTACACAGCACCACATCCCAGAAGACTGCTTTCTTTATCATTACTTCATGATGAAAAACTCTTTTATTAATGCAACGTGTAGCATTACTCACTTGTTGCTGCTGTTGCTGCAATTGCTGCATTTGTTGTTGCTGTAGTTGAATTTGTTGCTGTTGCTGAATTTGCAACTGTTGATTCTGTTGTTGTTGCTGCTGTTGCTGAGCTAACACTTGTTGTGGATTTGGTTGTATTCCTACTCCATACGGCTGCTGATTCACAAGGCCTAACATATAAGAAATACCTACATGTGATTAAGCATTAAGTTTCCCCAGTCACTTTTAAGCCTCTCTCACCTTCCTGGCCTCAAGTCAGTGCTTCTTGAGCCCTTTACATCTTGCACACCATTCCCGATCCTTTAAAACATCCTTCCCTTCCTTCACCTGAATGCTTCTTTTGTTTTTACAAAATTTCACACCAGAAATATAATGATTGTATTTATTTATACAATTATTTAACAAGCTCAATATCCAACTGTACAGTGAATACAATATGTTTCACCAGCTTGGCATCATGTCCAATGGCAAGCTTGAGTAGAACACTGTTCAATCGTTGTTATATTTCACAACACTTTCAACAGCTCAAATTATACATACAGTGTAGAATGATTAGTGAATAACTGTTCAACTGTTCAATTTATTCATGTTCCATAAACCCAGATACAGGTAGACACCATAGGATATGGAACAAGTCAAATACAATATAAATACAATGACATCTGTACAATAATAGTCTAATTGAAAAAGTAATAAGATTACAAAGTACATAAATATAAGCTGAATGTACTTATGCATCACAATTTGGGCCTGTTCACAAAAACAGTGTCGATGAGTACATCGCTAATAAGTAATAAGATTATAAATTATGTATATACAAGTTAATTATACTTGTGCATCACAATTTGAGCCTTTTGTCAAAAACAATGTCAATGAGTACATCGTTAAAGGTTATAAAATATTCAATTCAATTCTTTATTATTAATGTGCCGAGTCAACAGCTGCAAGGCCAATTACAGACACAGCACAGTGCAGAAGAATGAATTACATTATACACAATCTTATTAAAAGTCAAATACAAATTACAGGTTAACACTTGGAAGAAATAATAATGAATAAAGTAAAAGTAAACAAACAAATAGCTGATAATTATGACAGTAATAATAATTTCATTATCATTAAACTAAGTGTTATTACGAATTCAGGAATGAAACATAAATATTTAATTAAGAAATGAATAATATAGAATTACAGAGGATAATAATAATATACGTAATTCATTTTGTTTTACTGGACATGCAAATAATAAAATATTAACAGTTATACTATATTTAAAATTTGTTTGGGTAGAATAGTCAAGGCTCCGAATACGTCAACATCCCTGCAGACAACATTAGCAGCTGCTGCGCATCTAGCAGAGGGACAGTTTTTAAATAAGGAGCAAACACTGAACAATGCAAAATCTCTGATATACCGAGCAGGAACTCGGAGACCAACAATTTCCAGGGCAGAAGGGCAGAATTTAGAGCCAAAATAAACTTGAATAAGAAAGAGAGCATCAAGGCGATGTCTTCTAGTACATAAAGTATGTAATTTTAACTCCTCAAGAGCAAGAGAATAATTGTAGTGAACTTTAGGAAAGAAACGTTTAAAACAAAGGGCCACAAACCTCTGCTGGATGCGTTCCAGCTTGTTGGCA